TCTGTGCGCGGGGGGATCTGGGCGCGGGGAGATCTGTGTGAGGGTTTGGGCGCGGGGAGAACTGTGTGAGGGATCTGGGCGCGGGGAGATCTGTGTGAGGGGTCTGGAGACAGGGACCTGAGTTCAGTTCCACCCCCGGGCGACTGTCTGTGTGGACCCACAGTCCAAAGGTGTGCAGGTTGGGGTGGATTGGCCATGCTAAATTACCCCCATAGTGTCCGGGGATGTGCAGGGTTGGTGGGTTAGCCCTGTGCGACATGAGGATAGGATGGAGTGCTGCGTCTGGGTGGGATGCTCTTCCGAGGGTCGTTGTGGACTCGATGGGCCGAATGGCTTGTTTCCACACTTGTCGGGATCCCACGATTCGAAGTCCAGCTTCAATTGTATTTGAGCTTGGTTACACTATTCCTGGAATATTGCCAGTAGTTCTGGTCTCCTTAACTTCAGGAAAGGTATTACTGCCCTAGATTCACAATGAAGATACACCCGACTTGCTGCAGATGGTGCTGGGACTGTTGTGTGAAAAATCAATGATTGATTGATTGGGAAGATATGTTCGTATTCTCTACAATTTCGAAGAATGAGAGGTGATCTCATTCAAACCTACATATTATTTACCAGAACGCGCTGGCGAAACCGAGCAGGGTCTGGCAGCATCTGTGGAGAGAAAACAGAGTTAACCCTTTTGAGTCCTGTATGAGCTTTCTTCAGAACATGTCTGGGGTCACTGGGGGCTAAGAACCAGGGCACACAGAATAAGGGGTAATCCATTTAGGACTGAGGTGTGAATGAGTTTCTTCATTCACAGGATGGGAAAATCTTTAGAATTCTCCACAACCTCGAAGCTGGGGAAGCTCAGTCATTGATTATGTTCAAGATGGAGATTAATAGCTAGAAATCTATCAAAGATATGAAGGGATATTGTAGGGGAAAACAGCATTGAGGTTGATTATCTGCTGTGATCTGGTTGAATAATGGACAAGTGGAGGCTCGAACTTCCTCTGTGCAAATCCCTGACGTGACCTCTTGTGAATTTGGATCAGGTTATAGGGATTCTTTTAAAAAAAAATCTGGGTATAGAAACAGCTGGGATCAATGAAGAGTGACCACAAAAATTAAACAAAAATCAAAGAAACCGACATGTCTTATCAGTGTCTGTAGAGTGAGAAACAGATTTAACGTTTCGGGTCCAAAAACGGAAATTGCTGGAAAAGCTCAGCAGGTCTGGCAGCATCTGTGGAGAGAAATCGGAGTTAGCGTTTCGGGTCCAATGACCTTCAGAACAACGATGGTTAAACTGAAAAGTCCATGCGGTTTGTGTTTTTTTCAAATTTCCCAGCATCTGCAGTAGTTTGTGTTTGCATCAATGCCTGAAGACTGAGTTGGATGGTCTTAAACCACCTCCAGTTCATTCACCCACATTCCTTCGGGGTGGAGAGAGACTGATGGGTTGGAACGATATTGGCTGCAGTTTAGAAGAAAGAAGGAGGAGAAGGGGGAATCTCATAGCTACACAAAATTCCAGCAGGATCATACGAGGGTAAACGCTGGAAGGATATTCCCAGTGCCTGGGGAGTCTAGAACCAGGGGGTCTCAGTCTAAGGTTATAGAATAGGCCATTTAGGACTGAAATGAAGAGAAATGTCTTTACCCAGAGAGTGGGGATCCTGTGGAATTCTCTGCCACAGAAAGCAGTTGAGGCCGAAAGATTGAATGTTTTCAAGAAGGAGTTAGATATAGTTCTTAGAGCTAAAGAGAGAAAGCAGGAACAGGGGACTGAGTTGGATGCTCAGCCATGTTCATATGGACTGGGGGGACGAGGCTGGAAGGGCCGAATGAGCTACTCCTGCTTCTATTTGCGATGTTTCTATGAGACCTGCAGTACTTTACCTGATCTGGCTGCGATGTCTCTTCAGTCCTACACTGACTCTTAATTGCCTTCCAACATGGTCCAGCGCGATATTCAGTAACAGTGACTGGAATTTCGGGCACTCTGCAACAGGCTCACCTGTGGTACGTGCGTTTATTTAGAGAATAATCGATTTTTAAACAATAGCTTTTCGCTCGGCCAGATCAGCGATTGACTTTTCTAAGTTCCCTCTATACTTAGAGCGGATCGGAATGCTGTCTGAGCTGTTTTACTGACAGCATGTCCAATGAACAAAAGGCTGTATAAGGCATTTCTGAGACGTTAGGTGATGCTGCATAAATTCTCTTCATGTCAAAACTTACATCACAGCTCAGTGACAAACTGCTGTGCTCTTTGACTCCAAAAGTCAGGCTGGTGCCTCTTTTTAAATGCAGCATCGTGGACAATCTGTAACAGCATTTCGAGTTTACTTTTAATTTGTGTGGCACCGAGGAGATGCAACAGGAAATATTATAGCATCATAGAGATGTACAGCACGGAAACAGACCCTTCAGACCAACTCGTCCACGCCGACCAGATATCCTAATTTAATTGAGTCCCATTTGCCAGCATTTGGCCCATATCCTTCGAAACCCTTCTTATTCATACACCCATCTAGATGCCTTTTAAACGTCGTCATTGTATCCGTCTCCACCACTTCCAGGGGCTATTTTCCCTGGAGTGCCGGAGGCTGAGGGGTGACCTTATAGAGGCTTATAAAATCATGAGGGTCGTGGTTAGGGTGAATAGCCAAGGTCATTTTCCTCGGGTGAGGGAGTCCAAAACTAGAGGGGCATAGGTTTAAGGTGAGAGGGGAAAGATTTAAAAGGGACTTGAGGGGCAACTTTTTCACGCAGAGGGTGGTGTGTGTATGGAATGAACTGCCAGAGGAAGTGGCAGAGGCTGGTACAATTACAACATTTAAAAGGCATCTGGATGGGTATATGAATAGGAAGGGTTTAGAGGGATATGGGCCAAGTGCTGGCAAATAGGACTAGATTAAGTTAGGATATCTGACCGGAATGGACGAGTTGGACCAAAGGGTCTGTTAGCAGGCTGTACATCTCTATGGCTGTAAAAGAAATAAAAACCGCAGCTGGCAGTTTGTACATGCCAGTCTCTGGCATTAATGTGATAATGAGCAGATTTTGCTGATTTGAGGGCCAAACATTGACGAGGACACTGTGGGGTTGGTGGCGGAGAATCCTCCTATTTTTCTTCTAAGTAGTGCCACTGCATCTTTTTAACACCTGCCTGAGCAGGAAGCTGGGATCTTAATTTAAATCTCACACCTCTGACAATGCGGCGCTCCCTCAGAACTGCACCGGGAGTGCCAACCTGGATTGTTTGGACTGAATCCCCGGAGGGGAATTTTAATTTCATGCCTGGCCCGTTGTGTTCCTCCAGCTCCACACTGTGTTATCTCTGACTCCAGCATCTGCAGTTCTTGCTATCTCTCAGCACTTGGAGTGTTACCCTGTGAGCCACAACTAGTAATTCAGATGTCTAATACACCTCGCATGTGTTTCTTCAGCTGTGGTACACTGCAGGACCCTGCAGTTGTGAAAGATGTCTTTAGAAATGTAAGGAAGGGATCCTTATCTTTATAGCTATATCTTTACGATAAACTGCTTTTATTTTTGAGCATACCTTCATCCTGCTCCCACTACCCATTCAGTGTTCAGCATTCTCTAAATTTTATGTGTAGTTTCATTTTTAGTCTTGTGTCTTGAGCTGTTATGGTCTTGAATGCACTGCCTGCAATGGTATTGGAAGCGGATTTAAAACTAACTTACAAAAAGAAATGGGATTGGTGGAACAGTGTGGTTAGCGCTGCTGCCTCACAGCGCTAGGGACCCAGGTTCGATTCCACCCTCAGGCAACTGTCTATGTGGAGTTTGCATGTTCTCCCTGTGTCTACGTGGGTTTCCTCTGGGTGGTCAAGTTTCCTCCCACAGTCCAAAGATGTGTGGATTAGAGTGGATTGGCCATGCTAAATTGTCCCACCATGTGCAGGGATGTTCAGGCTGGATGGGTTAGCCACGGGAAATGCAGGGTTACAGGGATAGGGTAGGGGGATGGATTGGGGTGGGATGCTCTTTGAAGGGCTGGTGTGGGCTTGATGGGCCAACTGGCCTGCTTCCACACTGTAGGGATTCTGTGATTCTTAAAAATGTAAAAAGGGGGGTCAGTGGGATTGATGGTGTTGTTCCTTCAGGGTGCTGGTAGAGTTAAAATGGGCTGAATAGCCTCCTTCTGTGATGTGTATTTATTCTGTTTGACTGATTGTCTTCAGGTTAGGAAGCATTCAGTGGCATGAAAAGGAGGGCCCCTTCTTCCACCCCAATCTATACCTTCCTGACTCTGCAATGAGTGGGAACTGGGAAGGCAGCTGTGGGAGTGCCATTTTCCACACTGTTGCCATGTTTGTTACGGTACATTAGAATCCCTACAGTGTGAAAGCAGGTCATTCGGCCCATCGAGTTCGCACCAACCCTCCGAACAGCATCCCACCCTCTACCCTATCCCTGTAACCCTGCATTCCCCATGGCTAACCCATTTGGCTTGCACATCCCTGGATACTATGGCCAATTTAGCATGGTCAATCCACTCTAACCTGCACATTGCTAGACACTATGTCTACACTGACCCTTCAAAGAGAATCCCACCCAGACCCATCCCCCACTAAAACCCACCTAACCTACACATTTCCGATTGGTAATTTAGCAGGGCCAATCCACCTAGCCTGCACATCTTTGGTATGTGGGAGGAAACCAGAGCACCTGGCAGACACTGGGACAATGTGCAAACTCCACACAGATACAGTTTCCCTAGGGTGGAATTGAACCTGGGTCTCTGGCGCTGCGAGGCAGCAGTGCTAAGTGCGGAGCCACTGAGCTGCCCCAAT